GGAGTGGCGGCTTGCCACGTCGGTGGCACCACTCTCCACGCCTTTGCAGGTAACGGTCTGCCTGGCAGCGAGGGGCTGGGAGGTCTCGCTCCCTTCCCAAAAAGTCAGGAGCTTCCCAAAGCTTTGCTTTCTTCTCCCCTGCCAGGGATTGGCTCTGGGAAGGCACCACTGGAACAGTGTATTCAGCTGGCAGAGAGGCCTGGGGTGCGCCAGCACTGGCTGGCCTGTCAGCACTTAATTATCGATGAGATCTCGATGGTGGATGGCAAGTTCTTTGACAGACTGGAGGCAGTGGCGAGGTGAGCGATTGCCAGGTTAAACAACTAACAGAAATGAGTTTCCCTAAATTTCCAGGCTGCTTCCTTCCTCTGGTTATGTGAACAGATACAAGGCAACCGGTGGCATAGGAAGGAAGCGTGAAATCACAGCCAGCATCTGGGCAGGCCTCTATCTTGAGATAAGTTTTGATCATGTCCCGTTCCCCAGCTGCAGCTGTTCTGGCTGCTGTTTTCATCTCCGGAGGCAAGTGTTATCTACAGAGCTGAGTCCAGAATACAGCTGTTTATGCTGTGCCCAGCAGTTCTCTCTTGCAGAGAGAAGCAGTTGTAGTATAGCAGCTACCAAAGAACCAAGACTGGTAATGACATCTAGGGTGGGTAAGCAAAGCAAACTTAATGTCACGTAATAGCACTGCTTAATTATTTGAGCTCCTCTGACAAGGCTGAGGATAATCTTTTACTGCAGGTGGTGTAAGTTTGGATGTACTGACAGACTAAGAAGTAACTTCTGAGACCTGACTATGTCCAGGTCCTGGAGGGCATTCAAAGCTGCTTCTCTCTTCCCTCCCTTTCAGGGCAGTCAGAAAACGGGATGAGCCTTTTGGAGGAATTCAGCTAATCATCTGTGGGGACTTCTTGCAGCTACCCCCAGTCTGTAAGGCTAATGAAGAAACCAAGTTCTGCTTCCAGGTACAAAACTGTCCCTAAACTCATTCTCGTACTTCAAGTCTGCCTCTTTCTTAACAAGAAAATGATTTGCCAGGCAAAAAGCTGGAGGAAATGCATCCACATAAACATGGAGCTGACTGAAGTGCGGAGACAGACCGACAAGACCTTTGTCTCACTCCTGAGTGCAGTCCGTTTAGGCAGGTGAGGAGAAACTCAGCTGTCTAGTAAAGAGCGGGTTGTCACTTCTCTGTGTATTCTATCAGGAATGTATGACTGGGGGCAATAGCTATAAATGCTTTAGGTAACGTAAGCAGGTTTTATATATGCTGCTCTGGTAAGGAAGGACCCTTTCTAGGGTCCCTCTTTGCAATTTCTGCTAAGGAATTCGATGGATCCCGAGCTGGCAGTGGCCAGGGCAGGGCTGGGGTACACGCTTGCACTGTTCTCCAACTTTGTGTAGTTATATTTCCCTGTCCTTCTCTCTGGAGACCTGGGGCTTGCACAGCCTGATCCAGCTGCATGGAGGTTACTGCTGCTCAAGACCTGTACCTGATCACTTTAAGCAATAACCCCCTTTTCCTGGTTACCAGGTGCACAGAGGAGGTTACCAGACTGCTGACACAGACCGCTGCTAACAGGTCTGAGCGTGATGGGATCCTGGCTACGCGGCTCTGCACCCATAAAGATGATGTAGAAATAACTAATGAGAGACGCTTGCAACAACTATCAGGTGAACGCCTTGGAGGAAGCTGCTGGATTTGGGGCTGAGCTCTGAGTGGATGCAATGGGGATACTGTGTTGTCAGGAGGAACCGGTGTTCTGTCATGCACAGCAGCATCAGTCCAAGTTGTGTGTGTTGGGAGTTGAGCTGCCTGGGGAAAAACTTCACAGCTTTTTGCTTAAAAATCCAGTTACCTCTTGGTGTGTAATAAACAGCGAGCTCATTGCTTGCTGTGAGGTAGGGTGGGTCATTATTGCCTCCATACCCCTGCTTTTTCTTTCTGTAGCATCTCAGAAAGGCCGTGCTCTATCCAGCCACGACTTGATTTAAGGGCTGTTTCATTTCTGCCTCCCTGTCTGGCCCTAGGATTCTTTCTTAGTCCTCTTTGGAGATCTGGTGTTGGCAGCAAGTGAAACTGGTCATATGCTCAAAATGGTGACTGCTCAGTTCTTATTTACTGCTGGCCTTTGATTCCTGAGCCTTCTCATGCTCTGGGACTTATGTTGGGAAGAGAGGCTTTCTGCTGTTAGATGTGACAAGGTTTGTGTGAAGACGTCCTATCAGCAGAGCAGAATGGATATTAAAAGAGGAATTGCTGTTAGAAATAAATGTTGAGCCTCCTGCTGTGCTGTGTGGAATATGTTCAATGGTTGCAATTTGTCACATCTTTCTTTCCTTAACAGGAGAAGTGCGCACTTTTGAGGCTTTGGACAGCGACCCAATGCTAGTGAAGTTAATTGATGCTCAGTGTCCTGTGGGTGGTAGAGTTGAGCTAAAGCTTGGAGCTCAGGTGAGTGTGTGTACGTACGTTTGTGAAAGACCAGCAGATCAAATGGCATAAGAAAAATAAAGGAATTGCAGATAAATGTATACAGCAGATTAATGTATAGAATGCAGATTCTGTTGGCCTGGCATAGACATTCTATACAGAAGACTCTGTCCCAATCTTTGCATCTTTTCTGCTTGGAATCTTGTCCAGACAGAGAGTTAGTCTGATTTGAATGCAGGTCCGTGTCTCGTGGACAGTGGTGACTGCTATGACTTTGACACGCGTTTTCAATCGGGTTTAGAAGCTTCCAGGTAGCAGAGAGCACAGGCAGTCCTTGCCTGTGGTCTCAGCTCCAGGTACAGCAGCCCTCCTGACGTGTAAGGGTACGGCACAGCTTGCCAAACTTGCAGGACTGGGCACCTTGCTGTGAGCTAGGGCTGTCAGAGTGGAAAGGATGCAGGATTGTGCTTAGCAGCAGTACTGTTTGCCTTGGGAAATTGTTCCTTAGGTGTTCCCGGAATCTATATATGTCTAGGCTTGTTGGTATTTAGGGAAGGCGGATCTGAGCTCACAGCTGTGGACAGAAGCAGCTCAAGTGAAGTGTTCAGTGCTGCAGAATGATGTAGTTGGGAATCCTAGGAAGGAAAGGCTGTGAAATAATTTCAATCAAATTGGAGACAGTGCTCTATCCTGCAATAGGATGATGTGGCTGTGGCCTTATCAGCCTGCTCTGCTTATGCTTCCTGGCTAGAAGCTTAGCTGCAGGGTGGCTGAACAGGTTGTAAAGCCAGTGCACTAAAGGATTTTTCTTTTTCTCTGTAGGTGATGCTAGCTAAGAATCTGGATGTGTCTCAAGGGCTGGTGAATGGGGCGCGAGGAGTTGTTGTAGGATTTGAAAGTGAACAGAAGGGTAAGTAAGCTTTTTGATCTTTTGTTGAAGGAAGAGGAAAAATCCAAAACAAGTTATCATTGACAGCGGATGACTTGTTAATTGTTTACTGCTTTGTAAGAATAATTTGAAGGAAAGCAGGGAGGAAGTCTTCTCTGCAGTGGGAGGCTTGGGGCGCTCATAAGCTGTGATGTCATGTGCTGCATCGGCTGTAGCTATCTTGAGGGCCTCTTGTGTTTGCTTTTCTTTATTCTCTAAACGTGTATGCTCGTTTGCATTTCTTGTCTGTTCTGTTGAAGCACTTCTTGG